TTCTGTTCAGTCATTCACATACTACTTATTATCAAATATATATATATATATTAAATGATTTGGACTACACTACATTTCTTGCATCCTAGTACATGTTACAATTCTAAAAGAAACAGAACCACACTAGATCAATACAGAGGGAAACATATCATCGCTAAATGTTATGGTGTTTAGTTGTTACCAATTTCATCAAGCACTAGCTGAGGTCAGTGATGAAAAACTAGGAGCGAAGTTACAAGGGATAAGAAAAACAGTGACACCCGCAGACAGGAATAGATATACCAAGGAGACTCACAAATTATATTTCAGGTTGTCGTCCAATTCCATCAATGCGGCTTGATTTCCACACCGGTAGCAATAGTTGGGTGCGCTGAATATGGTCACAACGTTCCGGTCGTGACACCAATTAAAACCTTCCATCACCAATTGGTGAGCGCGACTGACAAGTGTGAGATTATTACTGTGATTGAAGGTCTCAGAGATATCTTGTCCAAATGTGTAACCGGCACCACGAGGACTTATACCCCATCCACCTCGATCGTCTGGATCAGACCAGAGCAGATCGCACATGGGACCCTAAAATGAGAAGTACGTCATTAACAACGTGATAAAGTTCAATTAGTGCAGTCGCTAACTATATTTTACCGTCCATTCTCTCGGTACTATGCGACATATTTATTGTTATATATTGTGATGAGTACGAACATCCGGAAACTAATCGGGTCTCCATCTCGAATCAACCCGTATGGGTTTATGGGTCCTTTCATACTGGCTTTATGATGCCAAACTAGTTTTGGTTAAAAAAAATCAGAGATGAGAGTGGGTACGTGACTCGTTCTTGGGGCAATGCAATGAACAACAAAAAGTAAACACCATCTTTAAAAAGTTCTACTGAATAGTTGCGATAACTGGTGTTCGAAGTACCGAAACACGATAGATGTGATATTGGGCCGATCGACGGTGAAGCTACCCACCATTAAAGTTGGGTGATGTTGTTTGGGTTTGAATCTCAAGCATTGGGGAGAAAGTAGGGTAATGACAAACTTGAAAGACTTGGAAAGAACTATCAACAGGTGAATTTTTATGAATTCAATGGTCTTTGTGCGAAAACCGCAGCCTTTGGAGAACCGAAGCGCAATCAGCCGGATCCTGCACTCTTCGAAAGCAGTTCGAACGTCTACTGTACCCAATACACTTTGTCACATTATGGAGCCGGTTACCGCTGCAACTAAGATGTTCCAGAGTCAGTTCTTTGAGGTTGCAAATCATAAGTTCTCAGTCCCTCTAGATAAAACAAATTCGCTCTACTAAAAGACAATTCTATGGCTTTATATTGTAATTTTTTGTTCTCATACTTTTTTGTTACAAACCAGT